CGCCAAAGTACAGGATAGTTCTAGAATGTAGAGGGCGTGAGAATAGTCACGTGATTTCGATGACGCAACAATATTGTATGCTGAGAAGCTATTCATAATATGTAATATTTAGAAAATAATTATCTTCTAAGACAAGGCATTAGATAAGCTTAGTTAGGATTATTCAGTACTAAGCATATGAAATCAACTATAGCAGAAAAAAACATTTGTGTACACTAAAGATGCAGACCTTCCACAATTTCATATATCTTTAGTTTTATATGAAGTAAGTGTGATGCCTATATGTTAGGATTTACATAGTTGTTGAGGACGGATAAGTCATTACATCAAAATTCATCAGAAAATCCTACTTAATTTATAGAATAATTTCATTTTAATCTTAGTATGTATTTCATAATATATCTTTAGTAGGTTCTATCTTAATTACAGGCTTACCATTAGAGCTGGGCAATTAACTCAATTAAGTGATCTAATCCATTACATTGTTTAATATCACACAAAGTAATCACTTAATTGAACTTACAATTAAATTGATTGATGTTGCTAAAATAATAAACTAATCAAAATTACTAGTTTATTATTATTCCTACTATTCATATAATCAAAATATTGTCAGTATGATTTCTTCTTATTATTTTTTGATTAATTCAAAGATGTTCAATTTAATCGATTGGCATCTCAACTCACAAAAATAATCAATTTACTGAAATTAATTATTACAATTTCTGATTACTTCAACAACCTAAGTCTCATATGAGAATAATTGATTAGTTGAAAGATATTGGTTAATGATCCTAACTATTAAGTGATTATAAAATTACACTAATTGCATAGTTCAACTTACCACCATATGTTCTTATCTAAAGAAATTATATGAAATATTTGTTGTTTTAAGATAAATTGGTTGATGTAGTTACTTTAATTTGTTTCCCACTACTACAGGTCTATCAGATATATAGTAGAAGAGATCCTGAATATGTTCATCATCTTCTTGAAGATATTGGTGCTTCATACATCATTCTAGAAGACAGCATTTGTCTTGCCCCTCCTAGAGATGGTTGCACTCTTCCAGAGATAATGGACATCCACAATAAGAATTCTTATGATTACTTTTTGGGTAAAAGTAGTATAGAAACTTCACAATCACTTTTCTGTGATGCAGTTCGCTATTTAAAACCACCTTATTCCAAATATTTTGCATTAGTTTTTCAAAATAAAACCTTCAGAGTTTACACTGTTCTTCACACAAAAAAACAGTGAAGTAATCAGCACTAAACAAACAGGTTTTTCAAAGCTTTATGTTAAGGATTATTGAGAATCTCAACTTTCTTGTAATTAATTTTGAATTTGTCTAATACAAAAAACGACTTCAATTTAAAAAGAAACTTAAAAAAATCACTATATGTTGAACTTTCTGTTAATGAGAAAAAAATACATATTAAACAATATGACTTACAACATATTTCAGTTGATATAACTAAATTATTTATACATATATACTTAATGTTTTTGCATAGAAGTTGATCCTTTAACTACATGATCTTAGCATGTAAAATTTCATTAACTTTTCTAGAAAATCAGATTGGTATGAAATTAGTTATTGAACTATAATTGTCAAATTGTAGCTAACAAGTATATGGAAAATTGTGAAATTAATAACAAAAATTCAGAACTGTTTGTAAGTTGTAAGTTCTTATATAATGTATAATAATTTTTAATCTTAAACTTTGTGAGATTTTATTAATTTATAATAAATGTTTGTGAATACAAATCATGGGAGATTAGGAATGTTATTGTTTAACAAAATATCAGACTAAAGCTCTGTGTTTTTCATTTATCTAAGAACATACATGTTAAACCAGTTTGATACCTATGTGTATAAATCTCAATCGTAAATTTCAGTTTGTGATAATGTAATTTGTGAACAATTATTTTATGGTTGTTCATTACTCAAGTTATATTTGCTCATCCATCTTTATGTATGTAAATGCAGGAAGAAAACTTGTATTAGATATAATCACTATTTGTTTGAAAGGAGATGTTCCAAGTGAAATCAAATACCATATTCTATTTGAATGGCTTAAATGGCAGCAGGGCCGGTCCTTAGAGTGGGGTGCAGTGAGTGTGAGGCACCTGGGCCCCAAATACAAATCATATTTTTAGTGAGGTATTTTTAATAAACCAAAAAATAAGATTTGTCCCTGAATATATCGAGTATTTTTTTTACTAGACCGTGTGGAAAATGATTTTCATATTAAGATTAAAAATACTTTTCTTTATCTCAAAATTAATTTGCATAATCTCTAAAACCTCCTAAATACATTCCAAATGTTTGTTTTCAGTAAAAATCTGTATTTTATCTCTTATTTTCTCTATCCTAACTCTATACAATGCTGGTCAATTTGACCAATCTTGTAACCACCAAGAAAAAATCTAAATTACTGCTGCAATTTGAAAAAAACCTCATAGAAGAATGAGCCAGTGATAGTGCAAGAAAATTTAATTTCACTTGAACTAGAATTTGGTAAGTACATTTTCTTTTTCATTGTTATTATTGCATCTAGTTCCATTTTTTTTATGTTTGAAAACTGGGTAGGTCATTACTAAAATTGAGTTTCAGATATTTCTTTGTCTCTAATCTCCCTATCTCTCATATATCCTTATATATTGTT